GGGGAATATATATATATATATATATATTTTTTTTTATTCTTTTTAAGTAAATAATGAGATTACTCATAATTATTTTATTATTTTAATCATGATTATTTTATTCTATAAGTCATAGATTTTAAATAACAAATAATATTTTTAATTACATTTTTCTAAATAAAAAACTTTTTAATCAAAAATACAAATACAAACAAACAAATAAATGTGTTATTATTATTACATATGATGAAGAAATACATAAAGTCCTAAAAAATTAATTAATAAAATGTAAAAGCACAGTAATAATAATAATAATAAAAGGAGATTAAACATGATTGTTTTATTCTATTGACAGCCATGGTTTTTAACACTATGAAATAAAGGAAACAAATACATGTATGTTATTATTAATAGTATTAGATATGATGAAATAAAAACTCCTGAAAATATTGCAATTATTATTGTGAATATATTTTTAAATATTTTTAAAATGTTAACAATAATTTTGCAAACATATTGTCTTTATAATTTCATGCATTGTTTTTCTCACATGCTATAAATGGGCCTGTACACAAAGAAATATATACCTTTACACATAAAATACATGCTTTATTTATTTATTTATTTTGCAGGAGATCATATTTAAGGATCATTGGCATCCATAGAGGAAGAATGAATGATATTAATTACAGTTTGTTTGAGTTTTTGAGGGCTACTGTGGGCTGGGTGAAGAGTTATTTGTGCATATCCAGAAAGGCTGAAAAAGTTTGAGCCCCAGAGACTTTCACTCTCTTTTTGAGGAGCTTGTGTCTGTTTGATAGCATGTGAAAAACTGGCGAGAAATTAGCCATTAAAAGCCTCTGTGGCCTGTTCAGCTCGTCATTTAAATCATTTGAGCTCGGCAGCGGTGCTCTATTTAAGCTTTCGGTTTGCATCTCAAACCAAAAACGACCTACAAGCCGACACCGTCAGACTCTATTTCCAGAAGTTTGATTTAAAGAGTCAATATTCAGTTTGCTTTCAGAGATCTGGACTTAGTCCTGTGTGTTTTCTGTGGCGGCTGCCCAGCGTTTCGCTCCAGGAAAGACCTCGCGACTGAGTAAAGTGCAGCCCAAACTCTACACTAATTAACTTTTATTTGACTAAGTCTTCAGGTTTGTGGGATGTGAGCTGTTTGTTAAGCTGTAAGTTTTCAGATCTGATGGTCTGATTTGACTCCATGCTCGTTCATTTCATAATCATTTGCTCACTTTCATGCTGTTTCAAACATGTATGACTTCTTCTGTGGCGATAATGTAATGAATATCTTCAATTCAACTGACGTTCAGCATGATTGACTTTAATGCTTAAAAGGGTCATATGATGTTGCTAAAAATAACATTATTTTGTGTATTTGGTGTAATGAAATGTGTTTATGCGGTTTAAGGTTAAAAAAACACATTATTTTCTACATACTGTATATTATTGTTTCTCCTCTATGCCCCGCCTTTCTGAAACGCGGCGATTTTTACAAAGCTCATCGGTCTGAAAAAGCGAGGTGTGCTCTGATTGGCCAGCTATCCAGTGC